TCCGCCCTCGGCGGGACTTTTCAGATGAGACTCCTGGGTCTTTTCCAGGGGGGGAGGGGGACCCTTTGGAGCAAAGGGAAGGGCACGAGCTGCTGCCCATCTCCACTGATGGAGCTACAAACGGCCCATCCCAGGGTTCCGCGAGAGCTCCGAACAAGAATTCTATGAGCCTACCTAATTACCAGGCATCCACGCCTACTCCAGCCAGGGAGTCACCCCGGGGGCATACTCACTTTCCACACACATCACACAGCACTCCAGTCACGGAGGATACCCGGGGGCATCCCAACAAATCATTCCCCGCAAGAGAGCTGGCACACAATCCCCAAGGTTGGCCTGACCTTACCCCAAATCCTACAGGGGGTCAAACATACAGGGAGGTGGTCGAGGAACCAAGTCCCGACTACAACACCTCTAGCCCAAATCAGGGAGTAACTGAGTTTTGGGAAAGTACAGAAACCCACACAAGCCCGGACACAGAACGGGGTTCAGGGAATGGACAGCCTCCTGACAGGTCTTGGACGGACCTAGGAGGTTCAACAGAGACGCCCAGCAGTGGCTATCACTTCAAGGGGCCCGAGGGTCTACAGCTAGGCAGGTCAACCAGGTCACAAAGTGACAGAAGCCCTGGCCTGACGAGCCCGGTGGGCGAGCAAGCAGGCCAGGCAGCGGGGCACAGTCCTTGGAAGGCACCAAGGCAAAATAAGGAGAACAGGCTCACATCTCCCTCCAGTCAGGGAACTCATGCTAGTAACCCAGAGCTGAGAAGGTCACAGAGAGCAAAGAAGTCTCCTAAATACTTAGAGGATTACATAACATTGCTGGCTAAACAAAAGCCAGGTAACGATAGGAGCACTGAGAAGCAGAACACTGCATAAAATAAATGATTATATGTTGGTAGTAGTTTTAGCCCGGGGGAAAGGGGTGTTATGTCCCGAGCCTTGCAAACGGCTCGGGCGTTTGCAGGCAGTCCCGGGCAGGTGCAAAGCTGCCCGGGACCAGACAGGCTGTCGCCAGCGCCGTGCGCATGCGCGGGTGCTGGCGCGGGAAAAGTATCGCATTTACCCGGGAAATGTCTATATAAGAAGTTGGGAGGTTTGGGGAGCTGCTGAAGCCATCTACTTGTAAGCTGAACGCAGAATAAAGAAAACTGAGAACTTCAACTGCTTCTCGTGTCTGCTTCCCGCCACGGACTCAACATGGGGGATGCTGCAACTATCATAAGTGTGAAAAATGGTCATAAGTCACTTTTTTCAGTGCTGTTGTAACTTTGAACAGTCACTAAGCAAGCTGTTGTAAGTTGAGAACTACCTGTATTTTTTCACTTTTTTCCCTTTTTTTGGTCATCAAGTTTTTGACACTTTGCTAGGCGACTGGTGGTACTCGAATATTTCCATATCCTAAAAGTGATACAATCTGTGAAAAGGTTGAAAAATCCTGCTCTGGAGGAGTGCCTCAGAAAGATCCACCTACTATTTGTTTTGCGTGAGCATAAATATTCCATTTACTTAAATGCAACAGACATTTCAAGCAGAAAGAAAAAAGTAATGATCACCTAGTTGGAAAATAACAATAGACTGAGGGAGTACAGGGTTTGGAAAAATCTGAGTAACTGCAAATGCATGGTAAAGCTTTCTTGATCTGTCAACCAGAAATAGAAAAGGAGAGTCAAGATTTGCAAGAAAATGAACTACTTAAGCAAGAAAATGCAGCAATTTGCAGACTCCAGCAACCAAAACCAAATGAAAGGCAAAAAGAATTGGCTAGAAAAGTCATCAAAAACTTATGAGAATTGATAGCAAGAATGAGACTACCTATCTTAAAGCAAACAAAGAGGAGATTCTTATTTGGGATATTTCAGAACATAAACCTGAAAACCATTTCAGCATTAATACTTGTGAAACAAATCAGCTGCTAATGTATTGTGCTGCTTGCATTGTTACCAAATGATATGTGAAAGTAAGGAACAAAAATAAATGAAAAAAAAAAAACCCTGATTGGAAAGTTCACTTAGAATTGAAACTGAAAAAAGTACAGGAAGATCTGAGCAGTTTGCAGAATCTAAAACTATGAAAACAGGAAAAAACAAACAGTTGAAACTGATTCTAAAAATTACCTTGATTTTTGGCAAGTGAAAGGTGATTCTGGTTTTTAAAGATCTGTTTTGCTCATCGGCAATCAAAATAAAATGAATGATTGACCTAAAAAAGCAGGGCAACATCAGAATCAAAACCACAGTTCATAATCAAGGACTAATACAGAGAATTATATCAGAATTATTATCAGAAAAAAACCACACCAAGTAATATAATTGTCATAAAAGCCAATTCAAACAACATTTAACATTTAGAGCTAATCAAGATAAATTCTATAGGAATATTGACTCCAAGTACCATCAGAGTGAAATAATGTTTGTAAATCTAAGCAAAATTAAAATAAATATAAATAAATATATTTAGATATAAATATTGTTGATATAAATATAAATATTTAAAACAATGTTGCAATGTTTTTGGGACAACCATGGGATCATCCCATTTAAAACAACAAAAGGATAGAATAGAGTTACATTACTGAAAATGAATTAAAGAGAAAAGAGTAAACTTTTAAAGAGAAAAATGGTTCAGAAATTGTAAAAAAATAAAAAATTGGAGTGTACCTAGGATTGATGAATTGCATGCAAGCTACAGAGGAAAAAATGATTTAATGATTACTATTAGACAGTGGTTGTCCCCAATCTTTTGGCACCAGAGGTTGATTTCATGGAAGATATTTTTTCCATGGACTGGTTGGGGAGAATGGTTCAGAAAAAACTATTTGCACAAATGGTATTTAGACATGACTATAAAAAGCAACAACTAAAAATAAAATTAGAAAAATTGAAAATTAAAGCACTCAATAAACATTTTTTGAAAAATACTAATGGATAATTGGACAGTACTAGAATATGGTAATGGATTAGGAATGGTACATTAAAAAAGAAAAGAGGGTAAAGAGATAAAAGCATTTTGGATTAAGATATGGTGGAATATCCAGAGAATTTTTAAAAGGAGGGTAAAATTTACTCCGCAGTTATTTTTGTTGGGTATAACTATTGATTGTGATACAAAGGAGGCTATATTGATGTTAAATTTGATCACAGCCGCAAGGCTGTTAGTAGGACAATATTGGAAGAAGGAATCCTTGCCTACACTGCAGGAATGGTTTTCCAAAGTGTCTTATCTGGCGGAAATGGCAAAGATTTCGGTTTTTTTAAAGGGTCAAACGCAAGAGAAATTTCTTGCTGTTTGGGATAAATGGATAGAATTTATACAATTTAAATTGGATATTAAAAAATATCATGTTGCCTTTTTATAATTTATATATATATATATATATTTCCTAGTTTTAAACTTTCATTTTCTTTTTACATATATATTTTCTAATTCCTTTTTAATTAAGCCTATATTCTGCTCTGGGAAGCTCGGGGGGGGAAGGGGGGGTGTTCTGGGGTGTGTGTGGAAGGGGATGTTATATTTAGTTTTTTGTGTATTTTGTATTTTTTGTTTTTGAATTGTTGTATTTTTTTCTGTTTTTCTGTTTTTTTTGTCTTTTTTGTAAAAATTTATAAAAATGTTCAATAAAAAAAAAAAAAAGAAAAGAGGAATAATTTTTTTTTTTGTTGCCCAGGCACAGATCCTATATATAAACATCATTAAGCCCAAATAGGAAATACTAGTTTAGAAAATAGATGCTGAGATAAGAATGAAACAAATAAAACTGAATATAGTGAAATAATACAGATTGATTATCATAAAAAGCATGATTGAGTTTGCAAAATATTACCTCAGCATTTATTAAAAACTATGGCTTCACTATTAATGAGAATTACTTGTGATGTGAATTCACTATAATGTAGTTAAAAATGACAGAGAAAAATGTATATTTTGTTATCTTTAGATTGATTACCTGAAAGATATTAAACCGATATCATTGTCATTGAAAATAACTATAATTTGTTTATCAGTGAAGCTATTCCAAGAGACTAAGGCTGAAAAGAAGGAATGAGAAACTATTACAAAATACTGGTGTTTGGAACTAGAGATTGCAAATATTTGGAAGAAATCTACAGTAGTACCAGTTGTATTTTGGTCAGTTCATAAGCCCCTTGATAGCGTTCAAATCATTAAGAAGAAAGCCAACCAATATTGGCTGCGACACATGATGAGTAGATTTGAAATAATTCTACAGTCTTGTTTTTATTCCAGAATATTATGGAATATGATCCAATATTATCTATTACTCCTTTTTATTTGTTTATAATATAAAAATACAAAAAATACAAAAACAAATAATAGGAAAGATAGGGGGAGGGAAAGGGAAGGGAAGAGTGCAGAAAAGAAGGGAAAAAGAAAAAAAGGCGTTGACTTCCGACTCCCTTTAGTGCAGTAAAATAAGATAGTAACATCAAACCTCAACTTTTTATTTCACATAGTAATATAAACTAGCCATTTCTATATCAACAAATCTATCTAATCAATAAAAACCAAAATCAAAGTTTTGTGTTTTTCCACCTCAAGCACAAAGTCCAGAAGCGGCTTCCAAGTAGAAACAAAAGTCCTTACATTTTTTTCTTTTATCAAAACAGTCAATTTAGTCATCTCCATCAGCTTTTGCAGCCATTCATTCAATATGGGGATGAAACTTCCATTTTTATACTTAAAGTAGTCTTGCTGCCATCAACATATATAACATCAAAGTTCCAATTTTTTTTCCAAGTCTTCTTCCATTAAACCCAAAAGAAAAGTTTCTGGTTTTATCTTTATATTCACTTTAAGAATGTTCTATTTTTTATGAAGAAATTTTATTGGTTTTTTTCATTTTTACATAAAAGTGCTTGAGAAACAACGTGGTGATTGGGCTATCAATTATCCAAGAACAAAATCATACATATATCATACAGATTAATTCCTTAAAAGTTCCCTTTCTATTTCCCACATATTATTTTACCAATTAAAATTATTACATTTATAAAAAAAGCTCAATCAATCCAATCGGTCATCAATCACATTTCAATTATAAGAATCCAAGTCCTGTTTTTAAGCTTTACTATTTTGAAAATTACCATATTCCAATTAAACTTATATAGACATATTAACACTTTGGGCATCTCTCATTTCTCTTTTCCCTATCATGATGATTCTAACTAAGATAAATATAAATATATTATCCCTAAAAGCAACATCCTTACATTTTTTTAGATATAGCCTATTGCTTAAACTAATGCATCATTTATTAATACTATTACTTCTCTTATCACAAATTTACCTCGTCTTCTCCCTCTATTACAAATAGTTATCTTGGTTAAAATAAAGATATGTCCAAAAAACTACATTTATGTCTATTTTAAATATATATTCTATCAATCAATTAAGTAAAATTTACCCCTCCAACTACTTACCATCTCTAATACCAAATATTGTTACAAAAAATAACCTTTTACAAAATCACCTATTTCATTTGTTATTAAAACAATCCAAGTGTCAACAACCTTTTTAACCCATTCAGTGGAATTTTAAGCCACATTTTTAAACCTAACTCTAGCTTTTTTTCTATGCCAAACCGGTTTCCATAATAAAGCCTCTGCATCATCAAACCTCAACATTTGGGTAAAGCTATTTCTCAATATATCAAAATAGTCAAAATTCTCTTCTCTTTCTTCCAATATCGTCTGAATAGTATAGTCAGTTTTATTCCTTATTGTAGTTGCTAGTTGATTGTCCACATTATCACAATTTTCAATAACTTGTACCTGAATGTCAAGCTCTGTTATTTTTGGGAGATCAAATAGCTGAGTTAATGTTATTCTTTGATCATCAATGTTCTCCATAGGTCGTAAGTAAGATTGTGTAGAATTAATTTGCTTAGTAGTTTCTACTGTAAGTTCATAATTAAATTGTAAGTGCAGTTCCTCTGTCTCGTTCAATTGTATATCTTGTTGAGTAGGAACCTCTCTAGGGTTACTGTGTTCTTCCTCCATTATTCTTTGGGCTATAGTTTGAACCGATGGTTGAAAGTCAATTTGTGGTTCTCTAGTATCATCTTTGATTTTTCTCCAAGATTTGATATAAGCTTTCATATAGTTTGTAGTTTCCAAAATCTTTTCCAATATAAGTTCATAGTCGAGCTGTAGATAAGCTTCCTCCATTTCAATGGTGAAATAGTCTTTGATTAAGAATAGTCTTTGATCTTTTAGTGGAGGTTATATTTCAAAAAGGTCAACAAATATCCACCTCCAAAATTCTAATAAGCAAATTCACCACAGCTGTTGCAAATCTTTTATCTTTTCCCTTTTGTTGTCATTTGAAGGTCAAATTCATTTTCAAATAGCAAAAGAAAATACAGTTGTAATGGCACTTTTTGCCACAAGATGTCCTCAGTGGACTGTAAACTCTTCCAAATAGGTAAAAATTTATCTCTTTCTGGAAACAGAAAAAGCAAAAGCGGGTGTCTCCAGTATAATAGATAAAGTAAAAAATATAGCGTTTCTTTTTTATTTTTTTCAGGGCCCCTAGGTATTCAAAGAGAAAAATCGAGTAGTCAATAAAACTTTTAACTATTTTAGTTGTTTTAAAACTTTCTTTCCCAAGTAGACAGACACTGCTCTCTTAAGACAGGGAAGTGATCAAAAACTTTTTACAGGCAAATAGTCAGGATAGAGAAAGGGAGGAAAGGTCTCACCCGGATTCACCATGGTGGTTCTTTATGCTGATTTTCTGACTTCAGCTGTCACAGCTAAGTGATCGGCCATTTTACTTGCCTATCTTCTTCTCCGTCGGCTCTACGGAGTTAGCTCGGACTGCAGGAGGAGCCGCTGCTCCACCTCAGCCAAGCAAAAGCCTCCTTGATGGTAGTCGGCCCTCCAGGGCGATTTAAGACTCACATAAGGGTCTACCGGTGGAGGGAAAACAGCCGACAAAGAGAGAGGTCTCTTCGTACGACTGAACATGCCTCGATCCGAAAGCGGAAGTCATTTTAAGAATGTTCTATATTAAAATATGAGTCCTACTCCAATATTTTTTTCCTTTATCACATGTCCACCACAAATGATAAAAAGTCTCTTCTTTACATTTGCATTTCCAACATTCATTTAAAGTACTTTTATACATTCTTGATAACTTATCTGGTGTTAAATATCAACAATACATCATTTTATAAAAAAATTCTTTCAAAATATAATTTAATGTAAATTTTAAACCTTTCGCCAACATATTTTACCAATGTTCAAGCTTTACTGTCAACCTATGAACACCCCTTGCATTAGAACTGCCATGTGCTTCTAGCTTGCCTACAGTTACATTGTTCAAGCTTTACATTATATTCAAAGTTTTTTTCACACTGAATCATACAATGTTTTACATCTTCACTTTCCAAATTCAAATTCAATAATGTTTTATAAACCTTAGTAATAATATGTTCATCACTACCACACAGTAGGATTTTCAATTCATTTTTGACAAAGTCAAACTATAACTCTTTTTGTCTAATTTAAATCTTTCTTTCAATTGTAAATATGTAAACTAATGGCAGATCTGTCCTTCTGATTCTAGCTCTTTTCCTTAGATTTGAGTATAGGATAGTAGTAATAAAGTTGGAAGGGACCTTGGAGGTCATCGAGTCCAAACCCTTGCTCAGGCAGGAAACCCTACACCATTTTGGACAAATGGCTGTCCAGTCTCTTCTTAAAAATTTCCAGTGTTGGAGCATTCACTGCTTCTGGAGGCAGGTTGTTCCACTGGTTAATTGTTCTAACCGTCAGGAAGTTTCTCCTTAGTTCTAGGTTGCTTCTCTCCTTGATTAGTTTCCATCCATTGCTTCTTGTCCTGCCTTCAGGCACTTTGGAGAACAGCTTGACTCCCTCTTCTTTGTGGCAGCCCCTGAGATATTGGAACACTGCTATCGTCCCCCCTCGTCCTTCTCTTTATTAAACTAAACATACCCAATTCCAGCAACTGTTCCTTAAATGTTTTAGCCTCCAGTCCCCTAATCATCTTTGTTGCTCTTCTCTGTACTCTTTCTAGAGTCTCAATATCTTTTTTACATTGTGGTGACCAAAACTGGATGCAGTATTCCAAGTGTGGCCTTACCAAGGCATTGTAAAGTGGTATTAATACTTCATGTGATCTTGATTCTATCCCTCTGTTAATGCCAAGATTAAATGATATTGTTTTACCGTAAGTCCACCAGTCCAGCTTCACCACCATTTTTTTCTAAAAAAAGCTTCTTGAGGGGACACCCAAAGAGGCATTTTCATAGAAAATAATTTTTATATTTATTCCAGACTCTTAGAATGGCACGTCAAACAAAGTGGTTGTTAAAATCAACATTTACTTTAACCTTATAATAACATAAATAACTGCCATCCAAATCTTAATCAAGTAGCCCTTATTCTGGAGGTTCATCCACTCCTTTAGCTAAACCAAACAACAAGCATCAAAATACAATTTCAAACCTGGTAAAGTCAAACCCCCCTTTACTTAGCATCTTGCAATAGTTTATATTTAATTCTTGGTTTTTCCCCCTTACTATATAAATTTAGAAATATCCCTCTGCCATTGTTTAAATGGAGTATCAATTGCAAGTATTGGTAATGTCTGAAACAAAACAAAAAAAACATCTTTTGTAAGACAGAAATTCTACCCAGTAGTGATAAATGCAGTTTATTTCATCTTAATAAATCCTTTTTAATATCATTCCAAAGAGGCACATAGTTATTTTGAAACAGTTTTGTGTTTGTATTTGTCATTATGACCTCCAGATATTTTACCTTTTTCTCAACCCTAAAACCAGACTTTTTAGTCAATATATCACAGTCCTATGGGACCATATTCTTAGTAAGCATTATTGTTTTCTGTTTGTTTATTTTAAAACCTGCTAAAATCCCAAAGGAATATGATCCAATCTCTCTATGATCTAGGGCATATTTAGAGATTGTATCAAGTACTGTCTGGTATTATTTTCGTATAGTGTAGGAAAATAATAGTACTGGTAATTACACATATTTCAATTTTTTTATATAATTCTATGATTTGATATACAGATTCAGATTCTTCCAGAAGGAGGTGAGACACCCATCTTCAAACAGTTCTTTAAAGACTGGAAAGACAAAGATCAAAGCAATGGATTTGGAAAAGTGCATGTCATGGAGAGAGTGGCAAGAATTGAACCAATTGAATTTGATGCTAGCAAGTTACATGAATCTCCCCAAATGGCAGCCCAGCACAACATGATAGATGATGGCTCTGGGAAAGTGGAGGTATTTATGCATATTGACCTTATGTTGCTGTCAAATTGTAATACTTATTGTTTCAGTTGTTTTGCTTTATGATGGTATTTTTATAATATTTTTATCCCAGACACTCTCACAATTCACATTTTAATGGAAGTATTTTGGCTCGTAAATATAAAACTTTACTGCGAGATACACGGACACATTTTAGCACAATGCTTTAACTATTTAACAAGTGCAAGTGGGGCAAACTTTATTTTGGATCCTTGAGTCACGGGAAGGGCAATTGATTGTTCTTTCACTTCTGCCTCCCCACCCAGACTTCAGAAAAGCTTTCTTGGTACCGTATTAAGGGGAAATCCTCCCCCCAACTGTTAGAGAAAAACACCAGGGGAGGGGTAAAGAAGAGAGAGAAAAACATCTCCCCCCTGGCCATCCCTGCATGCATCATTCCCAGTGATGATCACTTCCCATGTCTATAATTAATTAAAGAACGGAAGTGAGACATGCTTATATTCTGAGGATTAAAGTTAATAAGATTAAGAATTTGCAAGATATGCAGAAAGACAAATTTAATTGTACTATTCTTTTTACAGCAAAGAATATTCCTTGCATTAACTCAGTGATTCTCAACCTTTCTAATGCCGTGACCCCATAATACAGTTCCCCATGTTGTGGTGACCCCCAACCACTTATACATCACCGGGTGCCAGGGGCGTGGCCAAAGAAAAGGGGGAAAAAATGGCGGACAGCCTTGTTTGGCGACCCCCTTGAAATGGTCATTCGACCCCAAATGGGGTCCCGACCCACAGGTTGAGAACCACTGCATTAACTAGGTTCAATCTATTTTCTTTACCTATCACACTTCCGATCAATGAACCAGATACGACCTTCAGAAATGCATCCGAGACACAAATTATCTTGCACTCTTGTTCTAATAGCATTCATTCAATTTTATGCTTCTTAAAATTTCCATTGAATTCCCAAGATATCTAGAACCCGAATTCAATGAATTGGAAAAAGGATTTTGTCATTTGCAGAATCTCTTGCAGGTTTTTTTTTTTTTTAAAAAAAACCTGGTAATTTCTCCCCTTCTAACATATTACATAGGAAGATAAGAATTATTATACTGTGTGATTTCTTAACAAAACATAACATGAATGATTTCCTCATTAGTGTTCCTATAGACTGGTCAAGCCACAAATAAAAGACCATTTAAGGGGTTGTAATGTAGGATACTATTTTTTTTTTATTTTCCTCACAGATGTCTGAGGTACCAAATCTGAATTAAGTAAATGTGAATGAGTTATTATTTTGACATCTAAGTATCAAATTATAAGTGTGCCTTAATGTATCTAAATACAAAAAAAAATCTTAAGCTTATACCTTAATATACTTATTTCTGCTGTGAAAGATTTCAGACAGATTATCACTCAGGAAATAATAGTGTATCAAAAATTCTGTTTGAGGATCTACAAAAGCTGTGTACAGTAGTTTCCCATTGATACCTTATTTTTCTTAGATTTGGCGAGTTGAAAGTAATGGCAGAATCCCTATAGAACCGGGTAGCTATGGGCAGTTTTATGGTGGTGACTGCTACATCGTATTGTATACCTACCCTAAGGGCAAGATTATCTACACATGGTATGTTTAGTTAATGTGCTATTACTGTGTTAATATGATTTGAATAGTCTGTCCAAAAACTTTGGGTTTCTGCAGGCATAGAGAGTCATACTAAGCATAGTTCTGTACTTCAGCTTATCTTAGGACAAGGATGGACCTCCTATTATTTTGGGATGGCTGGAATGGATGACATCATTCTCTGTCAGCTCTCAGCTTTCTCAGAAAAGGACCTTCACCTGAGTTTTCTGAGCGGCATCAAAAATGGTTGCCGATACCTCATTCCATTTTTTTAAACAAATGTCTTCATTCTAATTGGTTGATATGAAGCTGTATCTCTACTCTGCCTTTAACAGCCATTTTTGTATTGGGCTGCTGAATGCCTACCAAAAAGGAAATATTGACCTTTTTGTTTTGGGGGACTGCTGTCTATTCCTTTGGTTTTGTTTTAACTGAGTGAAATTGACAAGAGTTTACTCCAGTTCATATTCTGACTGAAAGAATGCAAAACTGTTTTTATGCCCACCAGTGCTGAAAAATCATGCTCACAAAAGAGAAAGCAGCTGACCCTTGCTTTTCTGATATGAATGAAAGGGGAAAAGAACAGTGAAATGTTAAGGTGATCAACTTTTTTACAATGAAAAGGAGGACACAAATAAATTGAAGAAAAATATATCATAAAAGCTGGCCTGGCCCATGGAAGGTCAACTGCCCACCGCGCCCCCGTCCACAGTTGCCCCACCAGCACTGCTGCCCATGTAGAGCGGGCCCCACGGCTCCCAAAGCACCAGCCGCGCTGGCTCTGGGGGACAGCCTGCTGTCGACACACCCCTCCTGCAGCCGTCCTGCCAGCACCACCACCCACCCTCCGCAGCCCCGTATAGAGAGGGTCCCGCGGCTCCCACAGCATGGGGGGCAGCTCGTCACTGCCGCCCCTCACATCCCCGCCCACAGCAGCCCCGCCGCCCCTGCCTCTTGTGCCTGCAGCCATTATTACCCTAGCAAAGCCGAAGATCAAGAGAAACTTACCGCTCCAGTCTCCTCCAGGTATCTTCGGAACTAACTAGGAGATGGCGTAGTTGGGTAGCAGGGAGGGATGCAAAGTTCCTGACAATTCACCTTCACTGCAGACAACTTGCATGTGCAAAGTTTGTTGGCCGGGTGTTTTGGTGCGCTCAGCAGCAATTCCTATTGGCTTTCGAAAGCCAATAGGGGGAGTAGCACAGCTCATGCCAAAGTTGGAAAAAAACCATCAAAAAAAGGTGCCGGAATGCCGTTCTGAGCGTTCTATGAGAAAAAAAAAGCCTGCAGATTAGTCTTCAAATATCAAAAAGGAGGACATGTAGGAGGACACTTTTCGAGCGAGGACAGAACTTACAAAAGGAGGACTGTCCTCCCTAAAGGAGGACGGTTGGTCACCTTAGAAATGTAACAATTGTGGCTGAATTATTCATGGCCTAGATCAGGGGTAGGCAACTGTGGCTCTTTTATGACTTGTGGACTTCAACTCCCAGAATTCCTGAGTCAGCATGGCTTATTCAGGAATTCTAGGTATTGAAGGCCACAAGTCATAAAAGAGCCAAGGTTGCCTACCCCTGGCCTAGATAGAAGGACCTGGTTATCCCTGAAATCTGGAAAAATATTTCTTAAATTGGATTAATTTCCACCTGGTTTATGCAAGAGAGGCAAGCAGCTGAAAACCACAGTGAGAGAAAACTTGTTAGTTTTGTTCTCAGAATAACTCCACTTACAGTAAAGATTAACATTGTTTTAGATGGGCGATACACTGCCTCAGTCCTTTGACTTTTGGTATCCTCACTCAAACTGTGAAGTGTAATACATTTGTAATGCAATGAGATCTAAAAAGAAATTATCATAGTATAGCAAGCTGCATACTTTTATGACAATTCAGGATTTCCCAGTGTCACTTCTATTACTACAGGGAACATAATCCCTTTGTTACTATAGACATATTACATTGATAATAATCCTTAAATTGTTGATGATCTATAAGATTATTTATATGTTTTGTATTTCTTTGATTTCATTTTTTTCCCCAAATGTATTCTAGCCCCACTACTTTATGCTTGTTGACTCAAAACAGAGTTATGCTATATATATAACCTTGGGGGAGGTTGGTTTGAAATGAGACAATCTTTAATTGTATTTCTTCTGTCCACAGGCAAGGAGCTCATGCAACTAAAGATGAGCTTACTCATTCAGCATTCTTAACTGTCCAACTTGATCGATCTCTTGATGGACACGCTATCCAGGTTGGAACTCTATTGGGAAATATGAAAATCTTAATGGTGCAAACTTGGGAAACATGAGAAAAATAACAAGTAAAGCAGCAGCATTTGGTATGTAATTTAAACTACTTTTAAATTACATACCAAATATGTTCATATTTTTCTAATTAGTTTCAGTAAGATCATTAATTCATTTTTGGTCTACATAGATATTTTTTTAGATATTTTTAATGCTGCTTGTTCCTTACAGAGAACAAAAGTATCCCCTTACTTTGTTACACTTAAAGAAACAGTTAGGGGTCTGGAGAATAATATCTATGAAGAATGGTTGCAGGAATTAGGTATGTCTGGTCTATGAAAAGAAGAACTAGGGAAACATGATGGCAGTGTTCAATATTTGAGGGCCTACCAGAAAGATGAGGCAGTCAACCTATTTTCCCAAGCATCAGAAGGCACAGGAAGCAATAGATGGAAACCAATCAAGGAGAGATGCACTCTAGAAGCAAGGAGAAATTTTCTAACAGTGAGAACAATTAACTTTTGGAAATTGTGGTGTCCCATTGCTGGATGCTTTTAAGAAGACTGGACAGCCACTTATCTGAAATGGTATAGAGTCTCCTGCTCAAGTAAGGGGTTGGACTAGAAAACTTCCAACTCTATTATTTTATGTCCTAATTATATTTTGAAAAGGAACAGATCTTTTAAAATCCTTACTAGGTAATCTAGAATGCCATTAAGTTATTAGTCACCAGATGGCACTGCTGCCTATTTTTACAACAAATATAAAACTCCAAATGTTAAGTTCTACATAGTATTGTGCTGTGTTTTCCTGGGAATCTCCAAAAGACATTGTTAAATGTCTCCATGGTGAAACTCTGGATTACATACAACAAAGTAACCAGGTAAAACAAGGCCAGATAATAACAATTAAGAAACCAGCAAAACATAACAATAATAATTATCAAGTAATTATACATGTGTCTACAGTCAGCTAGAACAAGAATGTTTTTGTCTTGCAAATGCAAGTTGGGAGGATGAGTCCATAGTAATACTAAACCAAGGATCTTCAAACTTGGCCCTTTTATGACTTGTGGACTTCAACTCCCAGAATTCCTCAGCCAATGTGCTTGGCTAAGGAATTCTGGGAGTTGAAGTCCACAAGTCATAAAAGGGCCAAGTTTGAAGACCCCTGTACTAAACCATATGAGGACCAACAAAAGAGAAGGCAAATCTCACACTAGAAGTGTGACTAAAATTGTAGAGATTTCAAATGTCAAAACAGCATTTAAAAGGTTGTTTGAGAGAGATTAGTGTTGTGCAAGATGAAATTTCATTTGTAGCATGTAGAGAAACATCAAACCTCGTCTGTGCTCACTCTTCTCTCTCCAATTCGTATTTCAGTTATTTGGCTGTCCCCCTCCCACACCAAATCTAAGGCAAGCTCCATGAGGAGATATACTATGTGCTTAGACAGCTCTCACTTTGGAAGCCTGGTGAGAAACCAGGAATTAGTATATATATCAAATTCCTAGTAAGCCATAATACCGTATAGTATTGTGTATGTTGCTTGAAAGTTTGCAACACTCACAGGAAACTGCCACCCAATGTAGATTGTTGAGAGAAGCCTTGATACTCTTCAGTGCCTATGAAACATATGATGCCCACAATACATTTTAAAGAATCACTCCTTCCTTGACCTGTGAAGTAGTTTTTTCTCTTGTGTTGTTTCTACCTATCATTCTTTTTCCTTCACTCATAGCTGATTTACTTTAAGGTACAATTAGCCAGCTTCAAATTGTCTTTTTGAAACTGCATTATAACCCAACCAAGTTACTTAAAATAATTCAAGTAGATATATAAAAACACAGTACACAAATAGCCTGAAAAAAGAGTAATATCTTGGAAAGCACCCATACATTCTAGGAACAGAGTCCTGTAGTTGAGAAAGACTGCTTCCTGCCTGCCTTTCTGTTTCTCCTATGTCAAATGCTAGATTGTACACTTCTTGGCCATAAAGACAATTCTGAAGGAAAAAAAGAGCAATGCAAGTATTTTTAAGTATATACAGAGAACATAAAATAATAGGGTTGGAAGGGACCTTGGAAATCTTCTAGTTCAGTGTTTCTCAACCTTGACAATTTTAAGGCATGTGGACTTCAACTCCCAGAATTCCACAGCCAGCAATGCTGGCTGTGGAATTCTGGGAGTTGAAGTCCACATGCCTTAAAATTGTCAAGGTTGAGAAACACTGTAAGTTCAACCCCCTGCCTGTGGCAGGAGATCCTAACCATTCTGGACTTTCTTTCGGCTTGATGGGATGGATACACATGACCATAGAAAGAATAACAGAACAGAGTAATAGAGTTGGAAGAGATTCTTTATTAAGTTCCCCTGCCAGATAAAGGTAATCTTTTAGGAAAAAAATAAATATTTTAGTATAATCTAGAAATCAGTTTTCCAAAGCTCTTTGTTATTGTGCTAATTTTTTGGCCAAATCAGTTTTCCACATTTTTAATAATATGGATTGAAAAGTGTACATTGCTCTTCATATATATTGCTAATGTTCAAAAAATGTCTTAGGTCTTTAGCAAGGCAATTTGTTTAGATTATTTTTTGCAGTGTTTGAAGAACAGACAGCGCTGAGGGAATGTTAAAGACGTTTCTTGAAATAGATGTAGGGTTTTCCTACAGTATGTGTGGTAAACACCCCTGCTTTCTTCTGAATTTGCATGCAAATCTTCCTGAATCACACACAGATACACTCACTCCATTTTACTTAAGGGAATATTTAAATTGTTGCAAGCCTGTCATACTGTTGCTATGGTGGGAGAGAGGACAGGGTTAAAGTTCTATAACTGTAGTACATGCTGCTACAATCTTATTTTAAAGCTTACATTTTTAAATCCTATTTTAAGCTTAAATTATTCAAGAAATGATTCCTGCCAAAATGCAATGAAGAACTATTTTTGAGGCTAGCACTGGGCAATAGATTTTGCCCATATGTCCCTGCACTTTTGTATTAAAATATTCTTTTGTATTAAAATATTCTGCAGATTAGAGTGAGCCAAGGCAAGGAACCTCCACATTTGTTGAGTTTGTTCAAAGATAGGCCACTCATTGTTTACAAGGATGGGACCTCCAAGGCAACTGGCCAAGTACCCCCTGCTGCGACCCGCTTGTTCCAAATTCGCAGAAACCTTGGAGCCATCACCAGGATCGTAGAGGTAACAAATTCCCATTCAGAAATCTGTTCTTTCTGTAACCAGATAATTACTTGGCATCCAGACTGAGGGTCAGGCATTTTCATACAGATCTGTCTCAGACTTGTACTTTTGGTATTTATGCTTCTTTGTTGATATAAACTACTCCAGCAAATTCAGTAAAATTGCAGTTTAAACTCATCTGCATTCAGTCAGCAAATATCCATACAGTATATTGAATACACATTTTGGGAAGTTTCAGCCAATAAAAATAATGCATAAAATTGTATTAGAAAATATCATTTTATAAAAGAAATAACATTGGGGAAAATATTTTTTTAAAAATGCACAGACCTTTAAAAATAGCAAATGAGTACAAAAAGTACAAAAATAAAATGGAATAAAATAAACTTTGAGTAATCAAAACAAATAACAGAACAAAACAATTGAGATGAATGCAGTTGAGAAAATACAGTTCTTTGCTTAAGATCTCCCTATATTCCTTGTGCCTGTGAGACCACAACTCATATTTTAATTTACAGTGCTGTAAACACCAACTTGTCTCCAAACTACACCCTGATAAACTAAGGACAAGTCTAATTAAACACAAATACCTTCTTCTCACT